TGCGAAATATTGTAATTGTGGAGGCAAAATTTAACAATATGCTTATGATGCTGATGACTAGTAAATTAGCATATATGATAAGAGTAAGACGTTCCAACAGTATAAAATCGCTAGGATTAATATATTGATTTAAAATAATGAAAAGATTCTTAGTGAATTTGTAATTCTACTGACCAAGTTGCGATTTAGTTATTTTGCCGTATTGTTTTAATAAATTTAAAATTATGTTAATGTGAGTGTTTCTTATACCTTAATTTATAAAATTAATATCACCGAAAGATATGAATGCTGCTAAATTGGTAAAAATCAAGATCGGGTTTATCAATAACGGTTCACTTTCACAAATTTTCGTCGGGAGTGTTTCATCGCAATTAAAATGAAACTTCTATTAACGAGTTTAAGTTAATACATTAAAGTCTTAAAAATGTAAGTTTAGAAGTAGTAAAAGGTTTATGAATATCGGTATATGTTCTCATTAGAAACAAAGATACCATTAAATAAACTGCTCTGAAAGAGTCGTATCAGTAAATAATCTAGTTGTGTAAAGCGGATGAAGCCGTTTTATTGACACTTACAATAAAATGCTGAGTACGTATTTGCTATGCTTCAATAAAGATATAATTAAAATTAAATTTGATTAAATTTTAGCATATATCGATTCGATATAATTTAGTTACTCTTATATTCGGTTAAAAATTATAATAAGTTTACCATAAATTTAATAATAATGACCAACAAACCAAATCCAATGTTCCGCTTATTTATTTCAACTGGATACTATCGCCTTAAAATTCATTTGTCATTCTCAGTTAATTAACTGTTGTAGATCGAATAGCAATTCAAGTAGTAAATGTTTTGTTTCACGCTATTTAAGTTCTCAATGGCCATAAATTGCAAATGTATTAGGCAACTACTATTCTATAATTTTCATATTTTCGAATAAATTAACGGCCATAATTTATTAATATTAGACAGTAAAAAACTAGGCTTCGATCGTTTTATTGTTCTGAAAAATAGCTTAAGTAAATTTAGCAGATTATTACTATTAATGAATTTCTTCCAATCCAATGAGAAAATTATCAAAGTTAATTTTAAATGCTGTAATAGTAAGAAGTCAAGTTCCCAAGATTTTAATTTATCGGGATGTAATATGAGCATGTATTGAGGATGAAGGGTATTAGCGATAGCTACTTTGCAAAACCATGATCGTTTGCCATTAACTGTAGCTAATTTAATTATCATAGAATTTGATTTAATAAATTGCTCAAAGGTGATTTTAAATTTTAACCACGAACAGCACGAAATTGAATAAACTTTTTTAGATATTACATAATAACTCCTTGTCACAACCAGCTTCGTGACAAGGATAACGTAAAATAAATCTCTAAATTACTATAGTCTTCCGGAATTCAATATCCCTTAACTACCTCACAAGAATTTAGACGCCTTTGATTATACGTTAAGCTCAACTAGACAATTGAGAACTGCTTTATTCAACTATCTGACGGGCTTATATACTCTTCTACAGCAGCTAACATTCACAAGTCATCTTATAAAATACTTAGGTGAGAACATCTACTAACTAGTTCTTCACAGTCGGACTACAATATGTCCATTCACAGAATCATTTCAGTGCACATTACAGCACAGCATTAAATTTACTGTAACACATTTATAATTAGAGTAATGCCTATTGTAAGGAACTAGATGTAATATATTATCACTATATTATATTAACCAAATTTAGATAGCTATTTCTTCTCGGTAGTTCGTACCTTGACACTCCTAAATACGAATAAATATTAGAATCTATTTGTAATTTAAATTAGTCTTTAAGAAATATCCATTTTGTTTAAAGCATTGATAATTATTTGGTACTAGCAATTTCGTTTAACATTAAAACGTTTTTGTCAGAGGAATAAAAAGACCAAGATTACAACTTGAACTGTTCAGATGCTTTTAAAGACCACTTACTCTACAGTAGAAAAATGGAATTTTTCTAGTTGACCCTAAATTATCGGTGGACATTAGAGCTTACTTAAAATAATAAATTCATATATTTTACGGCCTTATGTCATAGAATTTTAATAAGAGCTACATTAAAATGCTCTTCACGTGCTTATTTAGAATAAAAAGCATTAGAAAACTTTACAATCTGTGCAGACTAGATTAAAATCTTGAAATAAGGAACCAGTAAATTTTTAATTTTTTTAGGACACCAGGAAGTTTCTACTACTATTAGCTTCTGAATTTATCAACTTTTTCAATTTATACTGTATTGTAGGATATTAAATTATTCTAATACAGCCAGAATTATTCTATTCAGCCGGCTAATTACGCAAAGTATCACGAACAAGCAAATTTACTAGTTCTATTTCTGTTTGAATTAATTTTAAATTCCAAACATTTTAAAATCGAAATACTCTAGCAAGAAAGAAAAAAATTTCTAAGTATTAAGAATAAAATTCTGAAGACTCTTACGTTTGAAGTTCTGGTGACTTCCTTGCTCCTTATACTTCGCAATAATAATATTAGAAGACAGTTGAGTTGTAATAAGTAATGTCAACTAAACAAAAGTTATTTTTTAAATTTTCTTTTATGATTTGATTATTTAAATAGTAAACCTTTGCATTTTAGTACAGTATTAATCAACAGATAAAGATTATTTAGATCTTATATCAAGCTTTAGAATACAGCATCAAAGATATGATCATTTTTCATTTAAAGCGTCAAATCTCTGCTCTAAATACTGATAGGCTTATGGGGTATCAATAATGGTTATACAAGTGTTTGTTTATTAAGCTGCTATGAAATGACTATTTAAATATTCAGTTTGCTCCATTCGAAAAATAGTTTTTATAGCATTAATTTTAGAATATTAAAGAAAAAAATTGAGACGCTTTATCCTAAGTATAGTATTATAATCACTATTTCAATGCAAAGCTTCCCTATAAACTACATTACGACAGTAATTTTTTACTGTCAAACTGAACTCAACATCGAAAAAAAGTGAAATGTAGTGTCATAAACTAGCTTCGTGACAAGGATAACGTAAAATAAATCTCTAAATCTCTAAAAATCTGCGGAATCAGTATAATTACTCACAAGAATTTAGACGCCTTTAATTCTACGTTAAGCTCAGCTAGACAATTAAGAACTGCTTTATTTAGCTATCTGACGGAGCTTATATAACCTTCTATAGTAGCTAACATTCACGAGTCATCTTATAAAAATACTTAGGTGAGAACATCTACTAACTAATTTTTTACAGTTGGACTACAACATGTCCATTCACAGAATCATTTCAGTGCACATTACAGTACAGCATTAAATTTGCTGTAACACATTTATAATTAAAGTAATTACTATTATAAATAACTAGTTGTAATATATTATCACTATATTATATTCATCAAATTTAGATAGCTATTTGTTACAGTGTTATATACTGTATTAATGTAGAAACATCTTTGTTAAAATAATTCTGTTAGACTATCCTTATTTAGTTAACTTCTAATTTGGATATACTGTGTTTTAATAAAGCACTGACTTTTATGACAGTGACACTTATATATACATACTGAAATTAATAGTTATAATAGGGAATGCAAATCATCTACTTACAGTTCCAATCATTGTGATTGTAATTTACTTATGATAGATTGTAAATTATCATGGAAATATTCCGTGATAGGACATATCGTAATCTGACTATTCTGTATGAGTCATTACATGTCTATATTCGTAAATACTGTTGTCTGCATTAAGGGAACAGTAGCTAAACTTAATATCTAATTCAGTAAATGATTCCGAGTTTAATTGTATTAACTATGACTCATGAACTTTTGAGGAATAGTATATAAATTCAGTATATCGTGAAATGAAGAGAATTCTCAAGCTTAGTGTTTAACGTAAAATACGAGGTGTTTAAGTCTTTGTGTAGTCTGCTAGTAGAGCAAAAGTGTTCGTGATAGTGCAGATATCATTCTTTGATACGTGGTTCAAGGAATTGACTTATTGATCGTTGTGATATATACCAATCACGAAATTCCAAATTTTAGAAAAATTAGGGCTTTATTGAATCTTATACAAAGATTAACTACACACAGCTCTACTTTAGCCGAATACTACTAACTGAATAATCTAAAGTTGCATGCTTTTATACTTTTCGTAGCATTCGCAGCTACAATCTGCATAGCAACTTTTTAACTTATTTTACACATAGTTAAATTATTCTTAGTGACACTATTCTACTGCGGACCATCATTAATCCAATATGGATACGACTACAGTACTTACGTAGACATTATTCACACCAGCCAAAGTACAATGAATTAACCGTATCGTAATATATGATTTACAGTTCTATTTTTACCTATAGCCATATTAGTAACTCAACAGCTTACTGTATATAGTCATCTGTACTCTAGCATAGAGTCTCTACCACTACAGTCTATAGTTATAGCTACCAAATATATCTTAGGATAATATCTACCGTACATTATACTAAACATGGCTAGCAGTCTACAATCACAATACTAGTTACATGACAATCGTATATTGCGTTATCTTGCTGCAAAGCTGTTTTGTGACACTATTTCTTCACGGTAGTTCATACCGTGACATGTAGATATCATTTTAATAGCTGAACTTAAAGTTTAATCTATCATACCGCCATTTTTCTCAATTAATGGATTATTAATTATTCACATAAATTAGCAAAATGAGAAATTGCATAGACCTTACATTTAAGTCGTAAAGTAACCTTTTAATTTACGAAGTATAATATGGCCTATAGATATAACTTAGAATGAGTATCTAAATCTCTTACGTTTTACCTATGCAATTTTGATGATACAATCAGATAGTCAGAGTTGTGTCTTTATTTAGGCGAATGCTTGAAATTTTTTTGATAGCATAATTTTAAATTTAATGCAGATATTGATCGCTAAGCTGATAAGGAGATAAGTTTTCCCTAGTATTCAAATTTGTTCTAAGAATTATCGGCACGCTGCTGAATCGATCTATGATAAATAAATAGAAAGGTTATTAATTAAAAATAGGTAAGAGTGAAACAATAAGAAATAATAGTAAAGAGGCTATATATACGCACTAAAACTACTATTATTTCAACTGATACTTCTGTTACATTATTAACTTGCAAATTCCGTACCAGGTACATTTTTAAAGCAAGACGAAAGCCCTTATTATAAGAAAAATAAGTAATTGCATTCTGAACACCAGTTAAAGTAGCCAAAAACAATGATACTGCAATAGGCATGACGAAAGGCCGACCATAAGCTATAATTAATTCGGCTAGAGATTTTCTGGTGATAGCTACTTTTACCCATATCAAAAACAGTAGCAGTGCGTTAATTATAAATAAACTAGTTGCCATTATCATCATTTTCGTGGCATTAATCTGATGGTGATAACGCCTATTACTAAAAACTGCAGGATTACTTCCGTAGGATGACTTCATGCGGTAAATTATTTTCAAATATAGAATAACCACGATTAGATGTGGAATCGGATAGGATACAACAGCAGCAACGATATGATATACAGACATTGAATAATTATTTTGATCATCGACTGGCTTAATATCACACAGATAAGGAAATCTAGGATGACTATCTACAGTCAAGTATAGTCTAAGAGATAAGATCAAAGCAATAGTCCATATAGAAGCAATAATGAGATATAATACTACTTTGCTCCTAAATGGAGAATAGTGATTAAAATAGTTATTATTCATAATAATATACCGGTCTATACTAATTACAGCAAACGTTTGTGAAGATGTTAAATAAGATGAACCAATAATAAATGCATTTATTTGGCAAGCCAATTTCATATTAATAGCTTCCATTTCAACTTCCACGGCAAGTAATGCATTTAAAGAAAGATAAATGATACTACATGCTAACAGCATAACGTCGGAGATAGCCATATTGGCAGACAGGTAATAAGATGGCGTATGAAACTTTTTATGTTTGACAATGGTATTGACTAAAAGTAGATTACCAACTATACCAATCGATAAAATTGGGAGTAAAATTAGGCAAGCAGATAAATAGATTATTCGAAGCTGCTTTGTTGGTAAAAACATTATCAGTGAGGTATTATTCATTGCAGATTAAGGTTTTAAAGCTTCACCATCGCCTAGAAATGAAATAGTAGATAACACCATGTGTCAGTTGTATCACTAGTACTGGTAAAAATTTCAATTATGAACGATAATATATAAATAAAGTTAGGTTTTACTTGGCAATAATTACCTGTTCAAGTACGTCTCGATGAATCTAAATTATACAAATAAAGCTTTATGAATAATAACAGCAAATGTAAATGTTAATCTGATTTACGGCAATACTTTTTTCTCTTTATTTTTTAATTTCATTTAATACTAGCAAAAAAACTTCTAATTTATGTAGAGTATTAGCTACTAATCAAAATATACATAAACTTAACACTGTAATATTTGTTTCCTATAAAATTTTGTGACTCGCATATCATTAATAAAGAGAAAAATTTTATATTAAATATTTCTCGATGAAAGTATTATTATCATTAAACTGAACAAAAAGTATAATAATTTTATTACTTAATTATGAATTACGTCGGAAGCACATCAAGAAGAAAAATTTTAGTTCCGACATTTTTCCGATAAATAATAAAGCTGCCGTTTACTTTTTTCGTATAGCTTATGTTAAAATCTTCTCATCTGAATGATTGATTTTAAGTTGATAATTATTATGCTACATAAACGCTTATGTTAAGGCAGTCTAATACGTTTACTTGATAGTGTTTTTTATATTACAATATTAAAAACAAAAGAATTGATTTTGTGTACCAAATTCTTACTAAATATTAAAAACAAAAGGATCTGGGAAAAAATTGAATTATTGTTTTGTTAGGAAAATATGTTACAGAAAAGTGACGTTCTGTTTCCAAATAGTAAATAGAGAATAATTATTAATAGATTATCTGATACATTAGCTTATTGAAATCGTGCAAATAGAGAATAATTGAATAGAATAATTATTTGTTTATTTTGTACTACTTTAATTGATTAATAAAAATAGGCATAATGTTATCAAAATTGCGCACACAATAAAGTTATCCTATTATCACATGTTATTATTTGAAGAATTTATATCGTGCTGGATGTAAACATGCAGTCAAATTTAGATCAGCATCGTAGCATATTAATCTTCAAATTTGTTAAACTGTACTCAACAGCTGTGGTTATTAAAGCGGACAAGATATAAATAAGCTAATAACTCTCTAAGACATTTATTAACTATAATTCGCTAATTATTTTGAGAGTAACTCCCAATCTGGATATTGCTGTTATTTATTTCGAAATTGAAGACTCATTACATTATATACTACAAATTATGCCTTTTGCATATATGAATCAATAAATACTCAGAACTACTACTATATTTGTGCTTTTTGCTGTTTGAGCTACCACAAATAAAATTCTAAATGACAATTTATAAATTAGAATTTATTAATTTTATTAATTAGGCAATATAGTATGATATTTTACCTGCAATGATGCAATAAAACTAAATGGTTGTCAGTCGTAGTTTCATGAAGTGAATATTGATAACTAATACTTTTTTTTTTACGTCAGATAGCATACTTTGGTATTTGATGAGATTATCATGATTTCGGGCGATAAATATTCTTTCGTAGATATATGCTTGTCACGGTCAGGAAACTGCCGTGAAATAGAAAACATATGATTAGTTCCTATCTCTAGCTTTATAATTTATTAATGACATTACGCATGCGCGAATTATATTTATGTGATAAGATAACTTAGATGATTTTGTTATGTAGGTAGAAAAACAACCCAAATGTGTTAAGGTCTCTTATTAAAGTCTTGTTATGATCACTCCATATTTACTAGTTACGACATAACCTGCTTAGTATGGAATAATTCAATGAATAATATTATTGTTTACCCAATTACATGTAAAAGTATATAAAGGAAGTATCAATAAAAAGTGAGTTCTCAACACTTAGTAAGTGAAGTCTTGTGTTACTGGGTTTGTAACAATGCTGTAATGGCCGAGTAATATTTTCCTACTGTTTTTGTAGGCTCACTTACTTAACCCTAACTTTGAGTAATTCCCTAATGTGATACTTGAAGGTAAGCAACCAAAAATAATACTGACTAACAGCGTTTACTGTTCAAGCCTTTTGTAAAAGAACGATAGCTGACCGTTCGTGTACAGTTCATTTCATATTGAAATAAGGTTTATCTTGAAATTGTGTCAACGCAACAGCTTCAGCATAGAATTAATTCTTAAATAGATACAATGCCTACTGTAAACATTGATAGTATGATATAATTAACTTGCCATTTAGCTTTCATCAAAGACAGCTTAAATATATAACTATTTACTTTAGTTTACAAATTGAATTCTATCTGGAAGTATTGAATTAAAGAACTCAATGAAAAGTTAAGAAAATTGCTAAATTTATTACAAGAGGAGATAAGGAAATCGGGCCAACCTACGTTCAGCTAACATCGAGAAGTACCACTAGAAAGTGATTACACTTCTTTATCTCTTTGAAAATTTCTTAATTTTACAATAAGATAGCCCAGAACAGCGTAAGTTCATGTATGATCCTAGACACTAAGGATGAGTTAAGATCTTTAGACCTACTGCTACAAAAAGCAAGGAATTCTAAGATTGCAACTATTAGGAGAAACAAAATATTCCAATAAAGATTAATCATAATCACAATTTCCGTAATTTTAAGGTCTTAGTTTGATTTATACGATGGCTCATTCAAGTAATTTACTTTCAAGTGGAATTTTAGCTTCTACGAGACTATTTGTGATGATAATAAACTATTTTAGGATTATTATTTCTAGAAAGTCATGGCTTAAGATAACAGATTTAGTTCTAGTACCCCGAAGTATAAGCATTACCGTAATGCGTGTCACGATAATTATACTGCGATATTAAAATAAGACAAAGTTGCTTTATGGTATTAAAGGGAAGGAATGAAATAGCAGAATCTTTGCTGGAGCTCAGTGTTTTCTTTATAATCAAACACTCGGAAAGCACAATTAAGGCAGTATTAACTTCACATAGAAGGATGCAACAAAGATAAAATCATTTTTTATGGATTAGGAATAGAATTCCTGCATGCTTCTGCTAAAATACATTTCGACATACGACACAACATGTATAACTTCATGGATGATAGTATCCTCAACAAATACCAAAGTATGTTATCTAACGAAAAGGAGATCAGAAATGGTAAGCAAAAGTAACACCATAGCAGTTAGTAAAGTAATAATATTTGCTAAATAATATCTGTATGTAATCATATTATTAAAAGTAAATCAGTGTCAATACAGCTGCGATTATGTAAAATATTGTAGAATGTGTTCAAAAGAATAATGATCTGACATAATCCATTATGTTGCTTCTCGCTGTATAAATTCTAAGCCTAGCGCTCGGTTGCATGCATGGAGCGCATATTTAAAGATTAGATTAAAATTCCTATCCATTCAATCTTAGGATGATGCTAAGTTACGCTAAAAATACAGTAATATACTACTATGTTTCCTGTTCAATATTGGATGCATAATACATAGATTGTATAGACTAAGCAACGTCAGCTCAGTTACTAGAGCTGATTAATTCCGACTATAATTTTGCTGTCTCAGAAAAAAGAGAAAGGTTAAGCTTTCTAGGATGATGAAACACGCGTTATGAAATTCGTTTCTGCTTATGATTTAGCATAATCTATTTTTCCGTATTGAGAAACCGTTACATCTATACTGAATCATATTTTTGGCTTAAATGACTGTGAATCCACCGTACTAGAAAAAGACTATTCTTCATCTTTACGCATACATAGTATTCGTTTATAGATAGTCAATTTGTACCATTTGCTATTTCTTTCAACTTAACTACACAATTTTACTAAAATCGTTAAAGATATCAGGCAGTTTATATTAAATTAATATTAACTAGGTTTAGTGACAAATATAGATACGAACTATTTTTAAATTAAAGAATTTTTCTTTAAGAGATATTCTGAACGTTATAACTATTATTTACTAATTTTTTTAGGTCGTATAATAATCATGTATGATAATAATGAAATGCTTCGTAATTTCGTTATAGTATTCCTTATAGTAATGGATAACCTGTACCTATAGAAAGGAAATGAAAATCTTTGTTATTATTATAACATTTTGTCACAAACCAGCTTCGTGACAAGGATAGGGTAAAATAAATCTCTAAATTACTATAGTCTCCGGGATTCAGTATCCCTTAACTACCTCACAGGAATTAAGACACCTTTGATTCTACGTTAAAACAATTCTACAATCGAGAACTGCTTTATTCAGCTATCTGACGGGCTTATATATCCTTCTACAGCAGCTAACATTCACGAGTCATCTTATAAAAATACTTAGGTGAGAATATCTACTAACTAATTTTTCACAGTCGGACTACAATATGTCCATTCATAGAATCATTTCAGTACACATCACAGTACAGTATTAAATTTACTGTAACATATTTATAATTGGAATAATTCCTACTGTAAGTAACTAGTTGTAATATATTATGACTATATTATATTAACCAAATTTAGATTGCTATTTCTTCACGGTAGTTCGTACTGGGACACATTTATAGCAGTTAAAGGTATTTCAAGATTTAAAACAAATTTAATTGACAAAAGTTTTAGAATAAGTTTATTAATCAGTTTCTTCAACATTTGAGTAGTTTTCGACTTATGTTCCAATTTAAGAAGTACGGAAAATAGTAATAATACCTAAGTAGACATCGACTGTTACTTAACTAAACTTGCCTAATCTGAACTGATTTAGATTACCCTAGATAAGTAACAATCACTGCGAAATGCACTTTCAGAATCTTCTAACTATATCTTTATTCTCGA